TTCGTTTTTCCAGAAGAAGAATAGGAATAGCACCTCCCTGCGTGCGCAGATCGACTGCTGTTCATCAGCAGTTCGGGTACGTTCAGTGCGGAGTTTTAGTTTTTTTATATTTTAATGACCTCTCGCCTTTCATTCTAAAGTCAAATTAAACAAAGAAAACCATCACCCTTTCCTCCGGAAGAGGTTTTTTGTCAGCGTAACCATTTTAAAAAAGCGTTCTTCCGAAATTTATCCCAAAACTTGCTAGTTTCACTTTGATTTTTTAAAACTCAAGTAGGGTAACTCTGTTCGCAAAGAGTGCGCTTTTGTGAAGAGGGCGCCACCAAATTTGGAGGACACTTTTTTAATTGGCTCAAAGAGAGAAGTGGCCCATCTTGTTATGTACTATCATTGATTCAAACCCTGTTTCATCGAACAAATCGCCAGATTTTGGCGCAACAACATTGGCAATGAAACTAAAGACGTTGGTAAAGTGCTTTTTTAAGCAATGGTTAAGGTTTTTAATTCGTCGCATTGGTGGAAGAGAAAAGGGGTTTAAAAGAAGAGGATAGAGATTTCCCAAATCCAACGTCTCCCAAGAGGCCCGAATCGGGGGCTGAAATGTGATGGTATGAGGTGGAATCTCTGCTCTTTGTTGTACACATTTGGTTACTTTTCAAAGCAACCTCGAAAGACGACGGTATTGTGACGAAATTCTTCGTCACAGTGACTGCCCTTCATGGCACAGATGATGGAATGTGCTAACAAAACAACGCAGGATCACAAATGGCTACGATCAATGAAAACTCCTTCCAAACTCATCAGATGGTTTTTCTGGACTGGCCTGCAAGACCAACAAGCCTTAATCCAACAGAACATCTGTAAGATACCTTGACTGGAGGATTAGAAACAGGCCACACTCTGTATAAACTCGTCTGGAACTGAAGACTGCACTTCACTTCACTAGGAATGGTAGGAGATTCTTCAGACAACCATAAGGACATTAATTCAGTCAACGAACAGACGTTTTGTATCAGTAATTCAAGCTGAAAGAGGCAACACGCCATACTGACCAAATTTTGGTTTGGATTTTGCAAGGGTCAGTGTGAATAAAATTATCTCCCTTAAATAAAGAAAGACATTTGTCAATTCTTTTCATGTCATGTTGGCAGAAAATGAATAAAAATTTCGTGTACCAAATTTCTTTCAGCTATGTAGAATAGTAAACGAGTTATTGTACTTTTAAGGTGGGTGTGACTGAACTTTTGCAACTCTGTATATATAAGATAACTGAAAAAACAGGTGCTGTCTTGACTTTTGGGGATTTAAAAAACATGCAAAAAATTGTCCATTTTTCTATATAGCCGCCGTTACCATGGCAACCGCAAGATTCGTCCATTAAATAGATGATTGCAAATTACTCACAATACAATTTTTAATATATGAGTGGATTTTGAAGTCTCTATAGTTGTGGATTAGGCGTGAGAAGCCGAAAATAGTGGGGTTTGTGTAATTGTATAATATATATGCCTATTGCCTAAGAATATACGTACATCTGGTGGTAGTGTTTTTTGCGGGAGAGTACTAAGAGTAGTTTATTTATCGTGATCATTGATCTGGACAATGTTGTTTTTTTGGCATACTTGAATACATGTAGTAATTTTTGCTTGAAAGAGAGTTATGTCATTGATATAGCCGGAAATAGTTATTTTGACGTAAAGGTCTATGCTATAAACACAAACAAAAGTGGATTTTGCGAGATGGTAGTGAATTAGACGTGAGAGGCTGACAATAGTAGATTTTGCATGATTGTATAATATATATTGCCTTAGACTATACGTACATCTGAAGGTAGTGTTTTTTGAGGGACTGTAGTTTATTTAGCGTGAAGGTCTGTCCTATAAACACTACTGATCGTGCTTTCAGCGTTGCCAAAATGACTATGGTAGTTTTTGTTACATGAAGTGATTTTGGCTTATTACACCGGCACAGGTCAAGTTCTACTTCCAGCTCACAGAATGCATGGGAACAAAGGAAATCAGCATAGGTCGACAATACCGGTCTTGGCTATTTTTCTACACACCATCCCTCCCACCTCACCCCACCTCACCCCCCCTTTTTCCGTTTATCTTAGGATACCGAAAAGAGAATGAGTCTTTCATCCAATCAAAAAGAAACAATATGATATATTATAT